ACACTTGAAGCTCTTTGCATCCAGCTTCGTACGTTTGCCGTCTTCCACATGAGCATACGGGTAGAGCCGAACACACGCAAATGCTTCATGCGCGGCTTCATCTTGAAGCACAGCTCACACGGTGTCATGTTCGCGTGAACACTGTTCGTGGTCCTGTTGATTAGGTATACCGCTGTATTCACCGCCTCGGCCCAGCACAACGAGCTCACACCCTTATAGTGTGGCATGCTCCGAGCCTTCTCCATGATCGCCCGATTCATTCGCTTGACCACGCCGTTCTATTGCGGGCTGTACGACGCAGTCTTCTGATGCACGACCCCGCTGCGCTCACAAATCCCATCTGGAGCCTTGTCCACAAGTCAGTGCCATTGTCTGAGCAAATCACCTACCCCACTGGTCCTCGTACAGCGCCTTGTACGCCTTGAACTTGGTCTCCACTTCACTCATCTCCTTGCGGAAGTACACGACCACAAACCTCGAGTGGTCGTCCACGAAGGTGAGCACGTACATCGCTCCACCCTTCAACTTCGTCTTCATGAGTCCCATCACGCCTGTGTGTACTAGCTCCAGTAAATGTGATGACTTGGTCAGCGATCTTGACGGAAAATGCGCCACCGTCCGCTTTCCCTTCATGCAGCCACCGCATAAAGTCTTGACCTCTTGCTTGACAACTGGCATCCCAGTCGTTGCGCGCTGCGTCTTCGCATACGCGTCCTCATTGGGGTGCTCCATGCGAGCATGCCACATCTCCTACTGATTCACTGACCCCTTGTACTCGACAAATCGCGCCATTTCCTGTCAACAAGTAGGCCTTCCGAGTCTCTTCCCCGAGGCAATCGCACTCGACTTGCCCCAGATAACACACGAATCCCGTTGGAACTCGACGCTCAACTCGCGTCCTGCCAATTTCCCCACCGACAGCAGTCGTCGATCGAGGCCAGGAATGTGGAGAACCTCCATCATTCGGATGCGCTTGCCGTCGATACCCTTCAAGTGCACCGACCCGGTTCCCGCCATGCGCAGCTTCTTGCCATCAGCGATGGTCACCTCGATGTTCGTGTTCACGACCTCATACTTAAAGAGGTCGTTTCGGTACGGCGTCAAGTGCGACGTCGTACCACTGTCGATTAGCCAGCTCGGCGATCGATCCTTACCGACAGCGGGTGCAGTATCAGCATGGCACTGGCGATCACTGAGTCTTCTGGCTCACTCACCGGGCTTTATTCGCTGACCGCGAATACTGCACCATCGTCACTGCCGTCGACCTTGTTCGGGCAGTCCCGCTTTATGTGTCCGACCTGGTCACAACTAAAGCACTTGCCCCGGAACCCGCTATTCTTCTTCGCGCCGTTACCCCTGCGGTCGTTGTTTCTGCCGCGTTTGACAAAAATGCCGTACTTGCCCCTGCCACCATCCGAGGTGACCTTCAACGCGCGCACCGACGGGCATTCTTTTCCAGTCGCTCGTGCTACTTGAGCAACTTCTCCTTCACATCGATCAGCGTGATGTCCTTCAAGCTCTCGATGATCGACGAGATCAACTCGAACTCGCTGGGCAGGCTGCTCAGCAATATATTCAACTGATGGACATCGTCCAGTGTTTCGCTGAGCGATTAGATTCCCACGACGAGCTTGTCGAATTTGTCGAGGTGCTTCGCGATCGTCGCCCCTTCCTCCATCTTGAACGCATGGAGTTGGCGAGTCATCATCACACGGTTGTGCATCGTGGTCCGGTTGTCCAACTCCCGCGAAGTTCCGCACGCTTGAATCGCCGAGGTCGCCGAGCCAAACTTCGTCTGGTGCTTCAACGACCCGCCCTGGGCGATAAAACCGAGCGCCTTAATGTCGTTCAGCAACCACGCATCCGTCATCTCTGCTTCCGGCTTCACCGTCTGCACGTGAGCCAGCAGTTCCTACCTCGTCAGCATCATGCGCATGGCGAATTCTCAGTGGAAGTAGTTGTCATCTCCAGGAGGACTTCGGACATCTTCGTCGACATCGAGGCAGCGTCTTGTAGCTTGAGAGTTTTGTGCGGCTGTTAACGTGTTGAGTAGTGAAGGGCAAATGCCGAAGTGAACGTTAGCAGCTACACCACAATCCACCATTCCTACATGTCCATAGCTACCTTCCTGTGCACCCTTCTTGTTCCCTGTACCTCTGCAGCAGCCGCCCTCGAGCTTCTCCCTGCGACGCCTAGACAAGATAAATGGTCGCGGGGGGAGTTTTGGATGTGATTAAATCACATCCAGCACTCACTTCATTATCTCCCAGTTAGATTTTGCCATACGTGAATTGCCGATCCCAGTCATCATTATCGAGTCAGTTCCCTATCTTCGCCGAGCTCATGCGCGTGTCCCACGCGCCCTCCAGACCATTGATCACCTTCACGTCATCAACCAATGAGTCCTTGGCTCGTCCAGCTTATATTTCGCGGCGCGACCTCAACAATCGAGAAGAATGAGGCCATAATGTGTATGCATCCGGCCCATATTCTTCGATTTGGATCGTGACTCAATATGGATCTCTGTGTCATATTTGCCGTGATCATTGCAATAACGTTCAGTATAAGTACTTTGACGCTTCCCTCGACCAACATTCTCCAGGCGAGTGATGCCACGCCAAATTCCTAGTGCAGGCAGTAATGGATTGTAGGGTAGGTCACGCGGTAATTGGGCTTGATATAGAGTGAGTTCTGGTGATTAAGTCCCCGAGAAATGGAACTTTATTGGGAGCAGATTATGGCGCCGACCAGTTATGAGTATAATGGTAGCTCATATCTGAATTAATTACTTTCATCAAAATGATATTGGTGCTGGCAGTAAGAACGTCGAAGTTCCGTAGAAAAAGTAAGTGCGAAGACCGTGGAAGTCAAATTTGATCCAATTTCAGCTGTTGCATCAGCCCGGTCGAAAGAATCTCCTGCTTTTGCTCCTGCTTTTGCTCCTGCTTTTGCTCCTGCTTTTGCTCCTCCTTTTGCTTTGCTTCTGTTCCTGCTTCTGAACCATTGACGTCAAAAATCCTCCACCACCGCTGTCAGGCCACTTCGATTACTAAAATAATCAGTTTACAGTCGGCTCGGGGGAGAAATGTCTGGCGTTCTTGTAAAAAAAGAATTACTGTCGTGACCACTTCACAGAAGCCTCCAAGTTTTTTTATTTGGACAAAATCAGCGGAGAAGCCGCTTGCATTTATATCAAAGTTAAGTTCGGGTGGGATTGTATCAATGAATAGGAAAGGTTTGATTTTATCAAGAAGGTAAGTTGTGATATCCTGGAATAAACACACAGTTGGTAATTTAGGAGGGTGGTGCTCTTGTGACTACTTGAAAGAATCCGCAATCGGGATTGTTAATTAAACGGAGTTAACATGTATCAAAATCAGACCCGGTGGCAATTTACTACCTGGGGCGGTACCACATGAACATCGCAATG